AGACTTTTTTATTTGCATTAACACAAAATCTAATTTTTTCTTGCCCGTTTTGAGAGATGTGGGCCGGCTCAAGAGTTTCAAGCATTTGTTTAGTCTGAAAGAATCATATTTCCGTCAACATAGTCGATAGATGGGCTCATGGTGTTGTTGCACGGTACGCAACGGGGCTGCCGCCCCTGCCCTGCTGGAAGTGCTGACTTAGATGGGTAGGCCGCGTACCCGGCTGAGAGCGAGTGGCTCGTCAGTCGGTGGGGGTTCGCCAGGTGACGAGCATGCCTGAGGGAGTCTCGGAGAGACCAAGCGTTGTGAACAAGGTAATCCAGACTTCTCATTCCTAGTCTCCCTATTAACCTAAAGGTCCCCCAGACCAGAACTGGGCTCATCCCTATCAGCTACACGGTCCGTTCCCTAAACAGCCTGGGCCGGTCTCGCTGTAGTTGAACATGGTGGAGGTGAAATGGGGTTGGTTTGATCAAACTTTGGGCATGCCCACACTCATCGACTCATTAGTTGTAAACTGTAATGTTCCTGCCATGAGAATGACCTGGATCTCGTGGATAGTCGAACCTTTTATTTTTGTTTAAGGCAGTAATGCTCCTTACCGGTGTGTATGTCGAGCACTTGTGTTTGTTTTATGTTTAAGTCAGTAACTCTCCGCCAGTTGGTTTTTCGAGTGTTGTGTTCGTTTTAGTGCATTTTTCTTTTACCCCCTCCCTTCATTTCCGTTTTAGTTTTAAATTTTTTAGTTTTAAGTTTTTTAGTTTCTAAGTTTTTTGCACTGTCGCGTGTTTCTTTCGCTGTGGCGTCCCTGTTCCTCCTCTCGGCGAGCGCGTGCACGTCGCTGCCCCGGCATGGCGTCCTTAGGGGTCCTCCTCGGTTCTCTACTGTGCCAGGTTGCGCCGAAATATCGGGGCGATGATGACGCTGACCCGGCGCGTTTCCTGGGCTCCCGAGAAGCGCTGTGGGCTATGTATGGTCATTCTCCCCGCCACTGGTTCACCCTGTTGGAGCACTCTGTCGAAGGGTCAGCTCTTACTTTTTTGGAGACACATTTCGATCGTTTCGGCCGTACCCCAGCGCTATGGACCACCTTCAAGGAGAAGTTCATCGCCCGGTTTCGTCAGGATGTGTCCGTCGCTGACATGTGGCTTGCGATAGCTCGCCGTAGGCAGGGCGAGTCCGAGTCTGTCGTTGACTTCGTCACAGCGATGGAACACATGCTTTGGCGGGTCAGCAAGAAGCAGCGCAGCGCTCTCTCCGAGGCTGAGATCGCGAGTACCATTCAGGCGCGGTTTCGGCCCAACATCTCGAAGCATCTCGCCGCCCAGAGGTTCGCGTCAGTCGATGACCTTCTCACCATCGCGCGGCGTTTCGAGGAGAGCCCTCGGGAGCTCCAGCAATCTACGCTTTCCGCTGTCCCATCAGTGTTGCACGTGGAGGCTGCTCCTCCGTCGCGGCAGCACAGCCCGCCTCGCAGGCGCCACAGCTCACCTCGGAGGGCCTCTAGTCCACCTCCGAGGGCCCCGAGTCCGCCTCGGAGGTCTACCTGCCTCTCCCAGAGGGCGGCCAGCTTCGGCCCGCCGCCTCCGTGGGCGTTCGATCATCGACCTCCACCGGGCTTCGATCCTCTGCCCCAGTACACGGACGTGCCGGGATACTATCTCCTCGGCCCTCCGCCCTGGTGCCCTCCGTGGCCTGCTACGTGGTGCCCGCCCTGGACAGCTGCGTCGTGCCCTCCCTGGACTGCTCCGTGGTGCACGTCATCGCCTGCCCCGCCGTGCCCTCCATGGCCTGCT